GTCATTCATTCTCATGTCAGTCTCCATCTCCTCCTTCATTCGCTTTGCTGCTAGGTTTCTCGCCTTTGCATCGAGCCTTGGGCTGTTATCGTGCATCTCATGCAAAGACTCTCGTTTCTTCATCTTGATTGGCGAGATCGATGATGTTGACACGGCGCTTTGGCTCCGCATGTGGCCGCGCTGTGCATAAGGGCTAGGGCTCGGTATGCGGGATGGATGCTGCGCGAAATGGCCGGTTGCAAAGGTACTGGGAGACTGTGGACGGGAAGGAACTGGGATTCTGCTGGGAACATGTGCTTTTATAACGGGTGATGGAACGGGGGACCTAGTTGGTGCAAAGCTTGCAGACTCGCGGTTCGAGATGGGGCCGGCACTGGCGGTGCTCGGTCGGGTAGGGGGATGGCGGTTGAAGTTCGGTGCATTAAGACGGCTTACCGGCTTGCTGATGCGGCGAACGAGTGACGGGGCTGTCGTTCGTTGTACTGGGCGGCGTGACGAGGCTCGCGATGCAAAAGATGACTGTCGGTTCACGTTAGCTGGCTCATCAATCATGACCCAGTTTTTCCGCAGCTCATCAGTGGGTGTCCCATATGAGATCTGTCTTCGCTTTGGTGGTGGCGGTGGTGTCGATTCTGGTGTCTCGCGTTCATAGTAGAACGGGGAATAATCAGACTGAGGAAGGTTTTCAACGGGAGGGCTGAACTCCTGTTCCGGGATCGCAACGTTGATGTTGTACTCGTCAGGCCTGGTCAGCCCGTCTGCTGCTTGTGGTCCTACCGACTTCGACATCTCATATCCTCTGCCGCCCCCAGCGTAGAAACCACGAAATGCGCCAGTCTTGCAGAATTCCCATACTCTACCAACAACACCGCCGATGGTGCTAATGGCAAAAGAGCTCCAGCCACTCGAGGGTTGGCTGTCCGAATCAATTTCCATGGGTCTCAGTGCAGGAGAGTCGACGGCGAAGTCGTGAGATCGTTTAGATCCGAGGGCACGCCTGTAGTCGACATCAGAATAGACACTATCTTCAATATATCCAAACTCTCTATGGGTACCTCCATTTGGAGTCTCGATCTGACCAGCCAGTACGTATCGCCTCTCTTTCCCATTCGCGCTTAGGTCGAAGTCGGAGCGGTCGCCGATAATATTGTCTGTATTGAAATTTCCGTCACCTGACATTGCCCAGTCACCAATAGGTGTCGACTCCCTGCCACCACCTATTCGTTTTCTCTTAGCGTTGGAGATAGGCGTGAATACCTCTGATTGCAAGCTTCCAGTAGACCTCCCGAGATACATCGAACTCGATACCGAAGGGGACGTCGGAGGCCGAAAGATGCCGGGATGCACGCCCGAAAAGGAAGGGCCTCTACCACCGCCGCCGTTGGGCAGATCGAGATGAAAGGTTCCGGACATGAGGATCTGAGAGTTGTATGACATTTCTAGTGGGGTGATTGGATGAGGAGGTTGGAGGGTCTATTTGTTATTAGATGGAAAAGTTGTAGAGATTATTAAGACGAAAGTGCGGGAGACAAGACACGAGGCCGACAGAAAACGCCAAAATGGGTTGGGGTTGGTGTTGGTGTGAGGGATCTGGTTTGTATCGCGACAGCCGGAGCTCTTGAGCGCGTGCGTGCGCAAACAAGATTTGGTCGGACGCAATAAAGCTGCTCGTTTGTTCGAAGTAATGTGGGAGCGTATCTGACTGCTATCAGTCTCGTTCTCGTTGTGGTTGTCCTCGCCCTCGCCGTTGTTATCGTTACTCTCGGCTATGGTTGGGGATGTTCGGTTGTAGGATGTGCCGAAGCTGGGACGCGCGTGATCTGACGATTTACGGCGGGTTCGAATTCAAATGCTAAGTAAGTACCTATACAGCTAGGTATCGCCGACTTATGCGAATGCGGCCGCGACCGGTATATCCAGGCACTTAAACAAGTCTCCCCGATGTTGAGAGTGCTTGTATTGGTTCACAAGCCCATGTAGGACGTCTGCCTGCGTGAACGGGGAGGACGGTGTACTAAGGACGTGCGAAGGATGGGTGAAGGATGCGCGAGGGAGTGCTGTAAGGTAAGTAAGTATCTGTAGGTGAGTAAGTAAATTAGTGAATGTTTGTTCCGCAGGTTTCAGCCCCCCGGAGACGTAAGACACATGACCCGAAAATCCGTCTTGAGCAGGGCTAATGCGTGTAGCTGGTGTAGTTGGTGTGACGTACGTAGTACATGTGTGGAAAGATGATCAGAAAGATGGTCGGAAAGCTTATTTGACGGAGAAAAGTATTGGTTGCGCACAGGCTCGCGTTTTCAACCTGCACCGCGACGAAGCCACTGGGACCGTGCAGTTCTCTAGCATACCTAAGTAAGGATGGTTCAGGTGGTCGAACGAAGAACCACTCTGCATGCGCTCGATTGACACAAGAAGGAGAGCCTGGGTTGTTGTTGGTCGCGTTGCTGGGTCAGCCTGCATCAATTAACCGTTGGTCTAGTATAGTCAACAGTACCGTACCTAGACAACAGCCTAGAATCGAGCTGGGGTTCCTCATATCACTGATAAGAACCCCCTGTCGATACTTCTACTGAGTACCTACCTACCTCTGCGTAAAGTGTGTCGCGGGGCATCGTTCGTCTAGATACCGTACTATACTTAAGCATGCCGCTAAGTACAAGTACTGGTGCTTAATGGAGCACAGCCTAGGTATATGACAATGTAACGGTGCCTACCTAGGTAGGGATGCACCTAGATATGGTCAGCCACGGGGAACATAGTAAGACACATTTTGGGGTCAAGTAGGTATATCCCTCGATTAAGTAACTTTCTTGAGTACTTGGGTACAGGCCTAGGTAGGTGTCTTTAGGTGGTTCGTCCGTATCCCTCATCCTGGGTTCTATCTGCTATCCTCTCCCGTATCATGGTGAACGAAGCAAACAAGGCGCGCCAGATGTCTTGCCTGTTTCCAGCGTGAACCAACCAAGTGGTCCAAGCCGAGAGTTCCGAAGTAGTCTTGCGCGAGATTCCTTTCCCTATGGAACCACTCCCCACTACTACTCTCTGCTGTAGTAGGCTTCCTGCTGCTCAAGCTTTTCAGTTTTGACGCCGCCGTCGACACCCGCCTCGCCGTGAACGTGCGCCTTGGTTCCCCAGAACTCATCGCGCTCCCTGAGAACCTCCTCCGCCCACGTCTTCGTCTCCGGGAGCACGATCCTCGTGGCGACGTAGGCGAACTCGCCCAGATCGAGGGTCTTGTTGGCACGCTTCTCGTACTCCACCATCTGCGTCAGGAGTTCCATCTTGTCGAGGTCGTGGACGAAGTGGCTGTCGAGCGTCTTCGCGTCCTCGTATTCCTGCCAGATCTCCCGAATCTCTGCGCCCGCCAGTCCGCCATAGACTCCCCCCAGTAGGTTCTTCGATATGTAGTCCATCGTCTCGGCCTCGCGGCGGCTCTTCTCCGGCTTCGCTACACCGTCGACCGGCGTGATATCGCCGACGATCGCCTCCGCCATGTCGTGGATTAGGCACATCTTCATGCACTTGAAGAGGTCGAGCTTTGGCGCAAGGGTCGGCGGACAGAGCATGGTCATGAGGGACATGCGGTACATGTGGTCGGATATCGATTCACCTCTGCAAATGGGATTGTCTGTTAACAAGCATCGATGATCGACCGTGTTTGGATATGGTACCTTTCTATGTTGAATCGACGCCATCCCTCCCGCTTGTTCGTCTTCAGTCTTTCCAGTATGTGGAAATAGGGCACAGGCGAGTTGGTATGCTCGGCAGGCGGTGTCGGAGTCAGAGTAGCTAACACCTTCTGCACCGACCATGGTTCGGAGATCTTGGGCGCTGGCACGACAGCAGGGTCTATAACCCCTTCAAGTTAGCGTGCTGTATAGAGGCGGGAAAGGGAGAAGATGCGACTGACCAACGAAGCCATTGCTCTCGTTATTGCTAACTCCCGACGACATTGTGTTTCGTAAGGCTATTGGTGCTGTATGTGAGGTTCTGTATACCTAGGTAGGCAGCGGGACCTTTTCTAGTTATTGGTCTAGAGGAACGTGGAATGCAGAGGGCCACAAGGATATTAATATTCCGGATTAGAACATAAGTAAGAAGTGAAAGAAGGAATAAACCTGGGGAACAAGAGCCAGGTCAGCATATATGTAGGTATCAATGCGCGAGGCTCCAGTTTGGGTATTGCTCTAGTTCCTGCTGGTTCCGGAGAAGAGCTCGTACCAGCCTCAAGGGTGAAGTGAATGAATGGCTCTTGATTTGTTGACGAGATTCACGTAACACGCAAGACGCAAGAAGCTGCCCGAAATTCACTATGGCTTCTAGGTTTCTTGGTTGAGATATCGGGATGTGAGAGCTATGTGAACGGCCCCCACTAAGGAGCTGCCGGGTAGAATGGCGTAGCGCTGCATCGATCTACCTAGCAGAGGTACCCTAAGGGTGGTAGCGTGCTGTAGGCTGAAGCCCTGCATTGGCATTGTCCATCCTGCCATTGGATGGTTCTCGACCATAGATAGCGTAGCCCGGGAGCCGGTGCCGGAGCCGGATTTTATTACGCATGGTACCTCTACCTATTGTAAACCCTTGCATTCCATTCCATGTATTCCATGTATGAGAACAAACCCCCGCGGATACGACCTGAACATTCCAGGCCGTCATAATCGGCGGGAGAAATTAGAGAGGTCAAAAGATGTTGTATTGGGTTAAGTTTCTAGCTAGGTCTACAGCAGTGGGGTGGCTACCTAACTGCGGGTTGTCTTGTGTTAGTTAAAAGGTTAAGACAGATTCCCACTGTGGACAGTGAAGCATACCTCAGTATGTCGCAGTTATTTCTTCGGGAGACTTCCACAGTAGAGTTAACAGGATATTTAAAATCGTACTAGTTTTCTGTTAATAGACACCTTACGGTTTCGTAATCGTGGACATACAACCATGATACCACATACCACACTTCCGCTAATGGCCAGTCTAGTTATAATGTCACCATTGACTATGTTACTTAATCCGAATTGGTGTAGTGGCTAACATTTGACGCTCTCATGAAAGAACCGTCAAGCCCGGGGTTCGATTCCCCGATTCGGAGTATTATTTTGCTCTTTTTCCTAAGTAATCTCAAATGCTGTTATTGTCTGAAAACCTCTTTTTTTTCCCCAGGATTTCTTTCCTTTAGAGTATTGCCTCATATACCGGTGCTAGTACTAATAAAATCTGCATTTCAATCAACTTTGAAATGATTTATAAACATAAGGACCACTATCCAAGTTTCCTATTTGTAATCTCATTCTTATGCTAATTCGAACCCCTATTTCAGTAATTCTAAAATGAGTTTCTTATTCTTCTCAATAGATTCCATGAGTTCGCTGACAAGAATACACTCGTCCGTGCCGTGAGCCACCCGGATGGAACCGGGACCGTAGAGCACCTTTTTATGGTCGCCGCGCAGTCTCGGTATATCGGTACCATACGCCATCGGCTCGGCCTCGAAGCCTTCAAACTCCCACTGCAGCACCATCTCGGTATACTGGAACTTGACGTCGACATCAACGTCGGGATGCTTGTCTATCACCCCGCGTACTGCGTCCTTGATTCCTTCGATGTCTTTCGACACGCGAATGCTGCAGAGCGCCTTGGCTTCGGCCGCGAGGATGTTGTAGCCCACACCGCCCTCGATCTTGCCGATGTTCAGCGTCGACGGGCCCAGGAGCTCGGAAACAGGCCATTCGACCGCTCTGAGGTCATTCAGCGCGTCGAAGAGAAGCAGTGTTGCGCTCTTGCCCAGGTGAGGGTATCCGGAATGGCTTTGTCCAGATCATCAGCTCAACATCACTCCTACTCTCAAATGCAGTAGGTATAGTTAGAAATCTCACGCTGTGCTTACCAGGCTTTCCCATTAGCGATGATTTCGAAAACAAGATTGCCCTTGTGTCCCTTTGCAACCTTCCCCTCCGTAGGCTCAGCAAAAAGACCCGCTTCCCAGGTGAGGCCCATGTCATTAGCCGCGATCATTCCCGGGCCGCCCTTTTCCTCGCCCACAACCCACAGGAAGCTCACGTCCCCGTCCTTTAGCCTTCCCTCGGCGCGCAGCTCCTCCACCGCGAATATCTGCGCCACCATCGGCCCGAGGTCGTCGCAGGCGCCGCGACCACGGATCACATCGCCGTCGATGCTGAAGGGGATATGCGGCGGCACCGTGTCCATGTGCGCCGTCACGAGGAGCCGGGCTTTTCGCTCCTGGCCTAGGTATGCGTAGACATTGTGTCGGGTAGAGCCTGGCGCGATGGGGATCCTCTCCGCCGTAAAGCCGCGGCTCTGTATGTATTTTTCTAGATATTGTCCGATCTCGAGCTCCTTTTCACTAGTGCTCTCAATGTTCATGAGCGTTTTCAAGAGTTCAACCACCTCCTTCGAGTCAGTTTTGGTCGCCATGGCGTCGCACGTACTTAAGCAACTGTCTTATTATGACTGCCAGGTAAGTAGCGACCGTAACACTTAATGGCAATCATACCAGGTGTATCATAATTTAGTTGTCGCTGATGCACCGTTGGAGCGCCAGCTCAGGCGGGGTTCGGCCTGGATATCGGACTCCGCTTAACTTTTAGCCTACCTCGTGGCTATATTATTCTTTGCGTTTTGCTGTCATGCAGAGATCACCAGGATACCTGAATTTTCGACGCTCGTTATATTGCATTCTTAGACCCAAGCTATTCATTTAATTCTCGCTCAACATGACTTCAATAAATATTATCCCTGATCTTCATCGTTTAATCGAAGTAAGCCAAAAAGTTAAAGTTCAAAAATTATCTCCAATCCTTGATAGGCATGGCTTCTCGAACTGGAAAACGGCTATAGCTAACCCTAGACCAAAGCGGCCCTCGATTCTATAGCTATGTTCATGCTCCGATAACGAGCAATCATGATCCTAAATAGTTTCCCTCTCAAATCCAAGTATAAGGCGTCTTGATTTATCTTACCCTGAAGATCTGCCCCTGCAAACAGTATATCTGGGAAGAACGTTTTATGTTATCAGAGTGAGATGTATGGTGCTGGATGTTAGGTAGGGTGCTAGGTTCCCCCTATCGACCTACGATACTTGGATTAAATTCCAGCCTTGTGACCGGAGTTGTCCTGTGAGGCCATACGAACACTTGACACGTTAGTATACTCTTGTACTTCGGGTATGTTTTTAGGCCCTTTTTAAACCCTTGTTATTAAAGAAGACTCAAAGCCTAAGATATATCGCGCACTGATAATTCGTAGCCCTATAGCTAGCATCGAAAACAGTCTTGCAACAGGTTATACTGAAATGGGAGACTATGTCGGCCGTGCCTGTCTAGTACGTAGAGCTGGGCATAATTCTTCCACGGCTGAGTATTGAGATCAAACAACATGAGAACGTAACTTAAAATACTCAGACTTGAGCTAGGAAACAAATGGAAAACGCTGTTGGCAGACTAACCGCCGGGTAGTACATGAAAGCCTACTTGTGAGTCAAGAGCACGTCGTTGCTCAGTCAATGAATGCTGGGTCTCGATATATGACACGACTCGTAGATATTCCCCATGCAGCTCATGAGCCAACAGTCACATATGAATGCCTTGAAGGAGCGTTCATTCGGTCAGTATCAACTCTTTTGGCTGTGGAAGTTTTGTTAATGTTGGTGTATGGCCATCGTGGCTATGTACAGTAGATTGGGCTCAGTCGTCGGGTTGAAAGATCAAGTCGTCTTAGCTGCTCATAAGAGCAGCCCTACAATTCATATAAAGCTACGAACTTCCGCTCTCTCACAAGCTTAGATCTCTACTCCTGCAACAGATCTTCACAGCTATCGCATCCGTTTACAAAACAATCTATCACGCACATTGGCCAACGCACATTTGCCTCAAATTTATCTATTCTCAGCCATGCCTTCTCCAGCAATTCGATGTGTCAAGGAGGAGCGGTTCACGCTACTGTTCCGAACGTACGCTTTATCCTATCCCTATCCCCCCTTACTTCCCATCCACCTACTAATTGTTTCCCTTGATCAAGACCAGTAGTTTCGCTCCCAACTCCTACGTCGAGTCATATGATGAGGAGCCAATTCTTTTCGGCGGATAGAACCATGAAGTTGTTAGTGGGTTAAAGGGGGGGAACCAATCGTCGGTAGTCAAAGGTGCGCAGTGAACTAGTGAAAGAGAAGGTGGGATGTTTGTTTCTTCGATTTTGGCATATCACATATAGGTACTTCAACATACCATCTGCACGGCCTAGACATGAATTTTGGATTATGCCCAAGGCAGACTTTGTCCCAGTTCTCAAGTGATGTGACAACTTATATCAACAGCTTAAAATTACGCCAGTATTTATTCGGGAATTGTTACGTGATGGAGCACATTTTGGGAACGAGTAACAGATCATGTTAAATGATGCTGTCTGTGGGTTTACTGCAGCGTTGTAGTACTAATTGGTAACCCACCTACATGTACTGTAGTTGTTGGTTCCACTGTAATTGGGTAGGCAGTTGGTTGTTGGCTGACCCCTACATTCAGTCTAGCTGATGGGGGCGGTGCTTCTTGGGTGCCTAATTGAACTCCCTCTCAAGCCTCGTTGGATCTACTTTAATTGATGTTAAGTAGCCCTACACTTACGATCTTCGCAAATCTCAACTTATCTCCTTTTTCATGCTCAGACCAAACTTCCGACGCAATGCCTATGTGGACCTGCGATGTTTTAGACTGCGAAACCCCAGCAGTTCGCAATCATGGCGCTTGCATCCTTTGCAACAAGCATCTATGCGCTAAACACCTCCAGCCCACTGTTCACAAATGTCCTAAATGGGAGGTTCGTATAACTTTCCAACAGAAAACTTTGCTTGCTAACTGTTCTATATTATAGGACGCTGATAATTATGATCCTGCTGCTCGAGCTGCAGAGGCAGACGAGCTGACAGAGTTGATCAAGAGGATCGACACCACTGCTCTGGAGGCCCGAGCCAGTCATTTGCGTGACGGCATACCCTGTTCAATCCCACCACTTCACTATGATAGATCAAAGCGAAGTTCTGTGATGGGCGGAATGAATTATCATGTCGACATCTGTTTTGACGACGGGGTCGAATGGATTGCTCGTATTCGTAGATTTAACGCTACATCTCCTCCGCCAGTGCTACGGGATTTCATCGCCCAAAGCGAGGTCGCAACCCTCAAGTTTCTTGAGAAGACTGCGGTGCCTTCTCCAAGAGTATTCGATTTCGCACTGGAAGGGGCAGACAATCCTGTTGGAGTTGGTTACATTCTGATGGAGAAACTGCCGGGCAAGTCTTTAAGATGGGACTGCACAACGCAAGAACAAAAGGTCAAGATCATGGGGCAGCTTGCAGACATATATATCGAACTTAGCAAGTATCCTTTTGACCTTCTCGGCTCCCTGACCAGCCCAGATAGCCCTCGGGTCGGCGCATTTTCTCAAGAATCACTTACCGACTTTGAACAGTCTGAAATGCGTACAATGGGTCCGTTCTCATCTTGGGAAGAATACCATAAATCTTCCCTTCGAATCATCTTAGATTTAATTATCCGGAGAGAACTTTATTCTCAGCAAGCGGTGGATGCCTACTTGATCCACCGATTCCTTATCGACCTAGTTCCATCGGTATTGTCGAAATCGGTCCAAGATGACCAAAAGTACTATTTGAAACACGCCGATGATAAGGGAGATCATCTTCTTGTAGATGGAGATTTCAATATTACCGGTATAATCGATTGGGAGTGGGCGCACACGGCACCACCAAGCCATGCTTTCAACTCTCCTATAGGGATCTTACCGGTTGGTGAGTTTTATGATGGGGTGAATGAACTTGGCGAAGATGAAACTACCTTCGCACGCCTCTTAAAGGAAAAAGGCCGCTCGGATCTAGCAGACTCTGTCTTGCATGGCCGGTTGCAACACAGGTTTGCGTTCTGTTGCGGATATGATCTTGCAGACTGGAAAGGATTCCTCGGCCTCTTTCAGGGGCTTCGAGATGGTGTAAATGTAGATGCTGGGATTAATTGGGATGACTGGAAATCGGTTACCTTACGTCGCTATAGTGGCGATGACGGCTTG